GATGGGTATATCGGTATAAGTAACAAAGAATGCAGACCCTGACACCTCATGTAAGCTATAGAACTCAGGTGGAGGTAACTTAAAAGTCTGGAGCTAGCTCGACTTTGGAAGCATTGGATAAAGACTTTAGGGAACTCTAGTTGTGTCCAGGCAGACATTCACTGGCCTACACGCCTTGATAGGAGACAAGCCAGTCCAGGAGAGTGAGAGTGTATCATTGATACAGAATCTCTTTTAATTAAAATCAGATCCCCAAACAAGGTTCTTGTTAAAGGATTTGTCATGGGGATGATATGATCCTAATAAAAATAACTCAGCATGAAATTGCTCGTTTCCTAGCGGAAGCAATAAAGGGAAACTTGTAAGTCTGAAGAGCCTTCCCAGTGTCTTAACTAAAGCTTACAGGACCTGATTTCTGGGAAGATAGTGTGGGTGCTGGCAATAGTGAGGTCCTAGAAGACATTGCAAGTACCTTAGAGATTCAATCCAGCCATTCATTGAACCGGTCTCCGTGGGCCGCATGGCTAGCAGCTATGTATCTTGGAATCACAGTTGCCTGGACTCCTTTTTTGAATTAAAAATCTTTTTTGGAAAAAATAATACAGGTAATGACATAATACACATTCGTGTTCCCAACGCCAAGGATGAATATGTGAATATCTTGTCATATTTGCTTCAACTTCCTTATTTTAAAAAAAAAAAGAAAGAAAGAAACTGCAGGTGAAGATGGCTTAATCCTTGGCATTGCCTAGAGCCTTTATCTCTCCTTTATCTTCCTTGCTTCCATTTCCTCTGACCCTAGGCTAACCCTAGGCAACCAAACCCTTGGGTTTGATATGAATCAACCTAACTTGTGCTTTATATCTACATATACTCGTATTTTGCACTCATCATTAAAGAGCAAAAACATGAAGCATATGAACAGGTGGTAAAGCACATGGGAAAATCCAGGTTGGACAGGATGGTGTGGCCTGGGCTTTGGTGTAGTAAGGTAAATATTGGGGGTCCTGGGCAGTACCAACTGGTGTCGCTAAGATATCCACAGAACACCAGCTTTGTGGACCCCTTGTCAAACCCAAAAGCTCTATGTGGTATGTTTCTTACCCCATTTTTGTTTTGTGTGGGTACACCAATGTCAGGGCTCGAACTCAGGGCCATTCTTAGCTTTCTTGCTCACAGTTGGTACTCAACCACTTGTGCCATTCCTCCCATCCAGCATTCTGCTGATCAATTGGAGATGCACTCTTGAAGGCATTTCTTCCCAGGCTAGAAGTGAGTCTCGATCCTCCCTATCTTAGACTCCTGACTAGCTAGGATTACAGGTGTGAGCCACCAGTGCCTGGCTCAGTCATCTCTTCTCTTTCCTGTGTGGGGTGCATTCCTGTTCTTCCTTCAGGAATATTGAACACTGAGTTTTCCATTCTGCTCTATAGTCAGTGATTCTTCTCCTGCTTAGTGCCTGTGGCACTAAGCCTACCTTAAACTTTTTTCACTCTATAGCCCCTTCCCGTTATCCCATCTCTATTCTTAAAAAACAAATGTTTTACACATGTGACTAAACTGCACAAAGCCAAACATTTCTGCATAATGAGTGCATGCAAAACTGGAGAAATTGAAATATGAGATGCAGAATAATATCCTGGTTATAATATTAAACTGTAGTATGTGGTTACGCAAGACATTGACAAGGGGGAAACAGAATGAAGGATGTACGAATTCCCAGTGTTATTTCTTACAGTTATAGGTGAATCTACAATTACTTCAAAACAAAAGAGTTAAAAGTATTCCTTAAAAGTGTCAGTAAGTACTGACTGTTTACTGTGTGTTAGGTACCATGCTCAGCACTGTGGTTAATCTCATCGTATTGCTTGAAATCTGAGACACAGAAAGGTTAAGTCATTTACTCTGGGTTCCTTAGCTAATAAGTGGCAGAACTAGCATTCAGATCCTACCAACCTCCATCCCAAGATACCACTCTGCTTAGCCCGTTGTCTGTTTGGCTTCATATCCTGCCTCCAAGTCTGGCTCTTCGTCTCTTTGTAAATTTAGCTTCTGTTCCAATCACTTGAAATTGCTTTGGTCGGTCGGGGTCAGTTGCCAGTTCTACCTGTCTCTTTCTGCATGCAGCCTTTGTCAGAGTTCCTCCCTTATCAAACACTTTCTGAGGGCGTGTGGTGTCCCAGATTGTGCTCTACTGGAACAAACAAGACAGAGAAAACTTCAGTAAGGAGGAACACATCTAGGCCAGAAATGGAGCCTTAAGCACAAGAGCTCATGGACAGTGCCCAGTCCCTGAGTTTAAACCCCAAGCAAACAAAGCAACACACGTCTTCACTCATTACTAGCTCCTTTCTGCTTACCGCCACCACCAAGCTGTTTGTGGAGGGTAGTGGGCAGCTGGTTGTCACCTCCCTTCTGTTTCCAATGCTTGTTTTGTCTGTAATTTCACGACATAGGAAAATATTATTTTTAAATATCTAGCATGTTTTGTGGCAGTACTTGGGCTTGAACACAGGACCTGGGCACTGCCCCTTCACTTTTTCAGTCCAGGCTGGTGCTCTACCACTTGAGCTACACCTCCACTCTGGCTCTTTGCTGGTTAATCATAGGTAATTATCTCATGCACTTTTACTGCCCAGGCTGGCTTCAAATCTCGATCCTCAGATCTCAGGTTCCTGAGTAGCTAGGATGATGGATGTGAGCTGCTGGCGCCCGGCATGTCTAACACTTGCTCTTTCTTCCAGAAGTCTCAATCCTTCTATGTACTTGTCAAGAATATGAAGAGAAATCCTGAAATAGTACCTTTCTTATGGAATTATTAAAGATGAATTGTGGGGTGGGGGGAGATCAATTGTCTTTGACCCACTACCTACTTTCCCCATATGATGATAATTTGAATTAATTTGATGCTTTCTAATCTGGAAACACCAGGAGTATCTGGGCCGAATATGAGGTTTCATTTCACATGTCCAAACAAAAAGCTACTCCAAGGGAAATGCTTGAGTTATGGCGACATGGAGCTAGCTTTTGCGTAGCACCAAAGCCAAGCATTTGCAGCAGAGTTTCGAGAGGGAGGTGTCTTGTCTCTTTCCACATGTCCGTGGTCGTTCTGTGTTTTCATTCCATTCCTCCAACTCAGGAAAGAAGAAGAAGCATTCTTTCACACTTCTTCATGCCCAAACCCAGCTCTGTATTCATTCTACTGGGAATGGATTTTGCCTCATAATTGAAAGCAACTCTAATCCCCTTGCTCATGTCCCGGGTGACTTGTTTGTGTCTGATAACTGTTTATGGATAGCAGAAATAGGCAATTTTCTTGTACAGTATTGTCAAATCCGTTGTCTTCAATGAAACCAAATACATCTTGAACAAAAGATGGGAGATTTGACCCGGTGACTTGCAAGGCATTAAAAGTGATTCCTTGTCAAATGCATGAAAAACAACTCTTCCCTTTCTCTAACTTGAGGGAGAAAAAGGGGAGAGGGAGAGAGAGAGAAAGAGAGAGAGAGAGAGAGAGAGAGAGAATCTCACACCAGATGGCAATTCTTTGCTAGCAAAATAGGCTTGGGTTGGTTCAGCTCCATTCCTTTATGTTCCTTTTGCAAAACCCACAAAAAACACATTTGGGGCCACTCTGTGGAGTTGGCAACCGTCTCTGCGTTTTAAGGGAATCATATGGACACAAAGAAGCCACAGCTGATGAAGGGCTGGGAACCCCAGGGCTCAGAGTGGGATGCAGAGGACTGAAATTTAGGTCATCAGTTAGAATGTGGCCTGGGCCCAAGATTATTCCCAATTTTACCAAGTTTGGTTACTTGATTAGATTTGATTCACACGAAAGCAAATTGAGGGAAGCTTGTTGACTGGACCTCTTCTTTAGAGGATAAGAGAAAGAGGGAGGAAAAGAGAAAAGGAGGAAGAGGGAAGAAGGAAAGGAAAAGAAAGGAGAAGGGGGAATGAGGGGGAAAGTAGGGGGTAAGAGGAAAAGAAAGGAGATGGAGGAAGAGAAGGAACTAGCAACTATAAAATTACCCTTTGGATGGTCGGAAGATAAAATGATTCCTAATTTCTAGATCATTCTTAATGCAGAGAATTTAAGCTTTATGATGTTCAGTGCCTTTTTCTACTGCTCACATGTAAGATATTATAGCTGTTTAAGTGATTCAGAAAGCACTTGAGACCTGTGTGTGCACATGAGAGAGAGAGAGAGAGAGAGAGAGAGTTAGGCTCTGGCTCATGCCTATTAATTCTATCCACTCAGGAAGCTGAGATCTGAGGATCAGGGTTGAAAGTCAGCCCTGGCAGAAAAGCAGAAAAGTTCGTGAGACTCCTATCTCCAATTAACTAGCAAAAAACCTGAAACTCCAAGTGTGATTCAAGTGGTATAGCACCAGCCTTAAGCACAAAACTTAGGCCCTGAGTTTAAGCCCAGTACCTGAGTGAGGAAACAGGCAGGGAAGGTGTGGGGGCTGGAATGGGAGTGCAGGACAGGAAGAAACTTTATCAGTAAAGATGTTGAAGGCTCTGGTCACTCTTAGCTCAGGATGTTAATGAGGAGGACTTAGAACATTACATTTGCTGGTGCTAGTGGCTCACGTCTGTAATAGCTACTAGCCACTCAAGGAGGCTGAGACCTGGAAGATCAAAATTTGAAACTGACCTGAGCAGAAAGTTCATGAGACTCTAGTTAACTAGCAAAATACTGGCCTGTTGGTGTGGCTCAAGTTGTAGAATGCCAGCCTTGAACAAGAGAACTGAGAGTAATAAGTCCTGAGTTCAAGCCCCATCATGATACCAAAAAAATCAACTCTGTGTGTATTTGTATCAGTTGGCTTTTATTATTTCTTCTTCACCCAAGGCCCTGAATGCATCCTGAATAACAACCTAGCCCCTTGTACCTTTTTTTAAAAATCTGGAGGTATTTTCAATCATTTAAGATAATATTTGCTGTCTCTTAGAAAATATGAGTCATCTTTGCTAATGATCTTTTATTCCCACAGGTGTCTGAGCACACGCAATTAAGTTGGATCCTAACCTGCATGGTCAGACTGCCTCGATTACAACATTTACACCAGTGGAAGGTAGAGGCCCACACAGTGTTTTTGATAACCAGAATCCTCCCTGTCTGGTACCTGCCATTGGCATCTTTTATCTCTCTGCTCAGGGTATTAAATGGAAAGAGAAAGGGCTCATCAAGATGCCTCCTGACCTACAACTCCCACTCATTTTCTTCTGTGTTGGCTAGGCTTGATCATGATTTTGAACTTACCACATGGTAATTGACAAAAAGGAGCACCATTTCTGAATGACTAGGCCTTCCAACAAACTGGCAAAAGAGACAACATCTTAAATTTAACATTTAAACAAGTTGAGCTCAGGCAACTATTCAAACCCACAGGGAGAAAAAAAAATTAAGGCTGTCCCTCTTCTAAGAAGTTGAACTGAGAAAGATAAATTGGATAATTTGCAGTACTTTACTTCCATTTCTTCCTGCAATTGGATAACTCGAAGGTCAGCAGCCCCCACCGACGTCAACACTCATTTCATTTTCAAACCTCTTTTGAGGCTGTTTTCAGGGCTATTGATTTCCACTCCTGTTGGCCTTCAAAGCCTTCACAGGCCCTGCAGAAAGTAGCAGATGTTTTCATGACTATATATTAATTGTACAGCGAGGGTTCAGTGTGGTATTTCACACATGCATACATTGTACTCGGAGCAAATTAACCCCTCTGTTACTTCCTCTTTCCCCATTCTGGCAACCCCACTATTTTTCTACAGGTTTCTGAAAGTTTCATTAAACCAACTGCATACACAGACTCAATGAATTTCAGCTATCCCCCCTCCCCTTCCCCGTAGTTCTTTTTCCCCTCACGCTTCCCCATTTTCTTCCCAGTCTCACAGTTACAATCATGTTGGGTGTGTGTGTGTGTGTGTGTGTGTGTGTGTGTGTATGCATGCATGCATCATATACATATATGTAGGTTTTAGGTCTAGATTTTACCTATAAGAGAAATCATATGATCTTTGTCCTTGTAAACTTGGCTTCTTTCACTTAACATGAGGATTTCCAGTTCCAATCATGTGATTGCATTCCTTTTTTTTTAATTGAACCTTGCCTTCTCATTCACTTTTCCACTCAAGACTGGCACTCTCCTACTTGAGCCATATCCTCATTTCCAGCTTTTCGGTGGTCAATTGGAGATAAGAGTCTCATGGATGACTTTCCTGTCCAGGCTGGCTTCAAACCTCAACCCAAGGTCTCAGCCTCCTGGGTAGCTAGGATTACACACATAAATCACCATGACTCCACAAAATTGAGTTGTTTTCCTCTTTTCTGGTTTCTAAGTTAAAAGCTCATGATTTTTCCCAAGTGATGCAAGGAAACCTTATCAGGGACACTGCAGCAGGGCATGCTAATTTACCCTACTTCTGGAGATTTAATTTCATGATCATTTCTGATCTTATTTATAAAACCCAAAATGTATCTGACTTTGAAGCCTGGTACATGTCTTTGTCTTTAACGAAATAAAGAACCAATAGTGGCCTGGAGTGTAGCTGGGTGGTATATAATACGTGCTTACTATGAGTTATGAGGGAGGCCCTAGGCTCAGTCTCCAACACCAAATACAAATTAAATCAACAAGATAAAGGCAGCTGGCTCATACCCATAATCCTAGCTACTCAGGAGACTGAGATCTGAGGATCACCGTTCAAAGCCAGCTCTGCAGAAAAGTCTATGAGACTCTTATCTCCCATTAACCAGCAAAAAGGTAGAAATGGAGTTGTAACTCAAGTGGCAGAGTATTGGCTTTGAGTGAAAAAAGTTAAGGGTCAGCGCCCAGGCCCAGAGTTCAAGACCCAGGACTAAAAAAATAAAAAAATGAATAAGTAAAAATAAAATGTCTTGACTCATATAATTAGGTTCAAATCAGGTCTTCCCCCTCTTCTCAACTCCCATAGACTAAGAGTGCCAAGCAGCAGCAGGAAGGAACGATGGGTCTGCTAACCTACCCAGTGCTCCAGGCTGCAGACATTCTGTCCTACAGGTAAGGGGAGAGCCTACCCAGGCTCATAACATGTTTTTTATGTGGGGCTGCTTGTTTGTTTGCCTTCCAGTACCAGGATTTGAACTCAGGGCCTCAGTTATGCCGAACTTTCCTGTTTAGCTGATCCTCTACTACTTGAGCCATGGCTTTTGCCCAACATTTTACTGGTTATTTTGGAGATAGAATCTCATAGACTTTTTTGTCTGGACTGGCTCCAAACCATTATCCTCTGGATCTCAGCTTCCTGAGAATTTTTTCTAAGAAGCTGAACTGAGAAAAATCAATTTGATAATTTGCAGTACTTTACCTCCATTTATTCCTATGGCTGGAGAGCTCATGGATTCTCCACGAGTACTTTCCCACCCCTTTCTCCCAGTGCTGGGCTCTGATTCTTCCCCAGGTGAGCTAGAGCTCTTTACCTCTAAGTCCAATAGCTTGGAGATGTTATCTGGTACCTTCAAAACAGGACTCCAAAGTCCTTAGACCCTTGTGAAGGAATCATCCCGAGGAGAGGCTGCTGAGCTTCTGAGCATAGGTATGCATAGGGTGTCTTGTGTTCACTTAAGTGCTGGAATCTTGATAATATTTAATATGTCTAAATACACTTTCTACTTCTCTTGGGAAGTCTAGATTGCTTTTCTCTAATAAGTAGCAAGACAAAAATATCATAATATGTTCCTAGAGAAGTAGGGTAGAAAGATTCCATAAAGAATGTTGACTTTTTTTAACCTGTAAAATATGACTCATTATTCAGTACAAGGGTTATTAGAAGATTAAAAATGAAATATGATGCACACAGCATGGTGACTGGGAAATGTTACCTGTTTGTGGTTAATCATGTGATTGATAATGTTGATTATTGTGTCTGATTTTCTTTTTCAAACCCTACTGTGTGTGTGTACGCGCGTGCGTTCACGTGCACACACATATGCACCAGTTCTAGGGCTTAAACTCAGGGTTGGGAAGTTGTCTAGCTCCTTTGCTCAAGGCTGGTGCTCTACCACTTCTGGCTTTTTGGTGGTTAATTGGAGATAATAATCTTACGGATTTTCCTGCCTGATCTTGCTTTGACTTGTGATCCTCAGATCTCAGTCTCTTGAGTAGCTAGGATGACAGGCGTGGGACACCAGTACCACCACTTTAAATCACAACAGCAAAACTTACACAAAGTGCTTTTTCCTTCTGCATAATTTCTCAGATAGAAGATTGGTTTTTACTGTAGAGCTTAGCAACTCATGAGGTTTTTTTTTCCGTTTCTTAAGATGGAAAACTTTCACATGTTGTTGTTGTTGTTGTTGTTGCAGAATGCTCCTCTGTGGCATGTGAGAATTTCCAGCATCACTCCATGCAAGCTTTGGGGCCATTATTAAGTAGAATAGCCACACACCTGTCTATCTGATAACTCAGACCACTACCAAGTGAAGAACCGGTTGGTTTTGTGTACAACATGCAAATGCCAGGCAGAGGGGTGATTCCTGGACTGGCCAGGACAGGTAGGGGGCGGGTCAGGGAGGGAATTATAGAATACCACTGACATTAAACTGTTACAATTGTTTATTTCTGAAATTTTCTACTTAACGTTTTTATTTTTATATCACAGTTGATCCCCAAGTAAATAAAACTTCAGAAATTAAAACTGGATAAATTGGCAGAATGCTAAAAGATACTATCATTCTCTTTGTCTATAATGTGAACATATACATTCTAACTCAGGGGAGAGGGTATTAAGCAATTTATATATTAATTGATATCACCTGGGATAAACTCACTTAAAAAAATTTAAGATATGAAAGGAAGCTTTTAAAATGCTGATATTGGCAAAAACAGCTTCTTAGGATCGCAAAACCTGTTTTATGTGCTGCCCTTTTTAAAGCTGAGCCTGAGGTTTTAAAAATCCTTTTATCTTATACAAAAACCATAAGTATTTCAGACATGGAAGGTAAACCTTAAGAGTATCCTGATGGCTTCTTGTCTGTCTGCCTGCCCCTTCGACATCACATAAAAACATGGCATGCTTCTAGCCATGGAGATCTCAGTTATCAGTTAACTCCCAGCCTACCTTAGGAGCACTTAACTGTTTTTGTTGTTGTTGTTTTTGGCTAGTCCTGGGGCTTGAACTCAGGGCCTTGGCACTGTCCATGAGCTTCTTTTGCTCAATGCTAGCACTCTACCACTTGAGCCACAGTGCTACTTGCGGCTTTTTCTGCGTATGTGATACTGAGGAATTGAACCCAGGGCTTCATGCATGCTAGGCAAGCACTCTACCACCAAGGCACCTTCTCAGCTCGCACACTTAACTTTTACTGATCTGGTTATTAAAAGAACATTCTCTTCTTCTAAAAAGAGGAGAATTGAGGGAGGGTCTCACCTGTCTTCATCTGCATCCTGGTGTTTTGGTTTGTTCAGAAAAATAGATTCGAATGATTTTCCTAGCTAGGCACAGCCTGTAATCTTACATCATGCTTATAATCCTAGCTACTCAGGGGGCTGAGATCTGAGATCTAAGATCTAACTTGAGATCTGAGATCTAACCTGGATGAGAAAGTCTGGGAGGCTCCTATCTCTGATTACTCACCAAAAGGAAGCTGGAATTACAGGTGTGGCTCAAGTGATACAGCACCAGCCTTGAGCAGAAAAAGCTAAAGGACAGCACTCAGGCCCAGAGTTCAAGTCCTGTACTGGGGGGCACAAATGGGAGAAAGGAAAGAAGGGAGGGAGGGAGGAAAGGAGGGAAGGAAGAAGAGAGGAAGGGAGGGAGGAAGGAGGAAGAAAGGAAAGGGAAGAAGGAGGAAGGAAGGAAGGAAAGAAGGAAGGAAGGAAGGGAGAGAGGGAGGGACGGAGGAAGAAAGGAAGGAAGGAAGGGAAAGAACAGAAGAGGGAAGGAAGAGAAGAGGAGAGAATAGAGAAGGGAAGGAAGGAAGGAAGGAAGGAAGGAAGGAAGGAAGGAAGGAAGGCAGGCAGGCAGGCATAGCATATCCAGTAACTGCCAGAGATAGGAGAACGCATCCTTTTTTGTATAGACAGTGCCAAGCCCCTTTCCCACACAATAGAATGAAAATTTAAAAACATAGCCAAAGAATTTGGAGGGTGGGAAGAGGAGAGGAGGGGGGGAAAGAGAGGGAAAGGAGAGAAGAGAGGGAAGGAGGGAGAAAAAGAAAAAAGAGACAAATCTGCCAGGAGGTTCTGGTTCTTTATCTGGACACTAATCCTGCCGGAGGGGTGGAGTGAGTCCCAAGGAATGGCTGCAAGGAGGAATTGCATGAAAAAAGAAAAATGGTTTAGCCACTAAAGAAGAAGATCAGAGGCATTATTATGTGACAGAAGTTATAACAATCAAAATTATGAAAGACTTGTTTTATGTTGTGTTGAAGAAAGCACGGCCAGGGTAAGAGGCAAAAAAAAGAAAAAGAAAGAAAGAAAGAAAAGGGGGAAAGGGTGGCTGTATTAATATGGCTATCATTATGCAGGGCATAAATTTTCACAGAGCAGCACTAAATTATCCAAAGGAAAGGAGGAGCGGGAGGAGCCGGAGGAGGGGGGCTGGAGGCGTGCAGAGAATCAGCCCCGCAAGTGAGTGGATCAAAGACGGGCTGAATTAATGGCAAGTGTAAACTCCGTGGCTGAAAAGTTAAAGGCCAGGATAAATTATAGGAGGTGAAAGGAGGGGGGCAAGGAGGGGGGACACAGAGGGAGCAAAGACCCGAAACAAACAAACTGAAGTCAGATGCACACAGCCACGTGGAACAACAGCACAGGTGCAAAAAATTAACATGTTCTAATCCTTTAAAGAAAGAAAAGAATCCATTCCCCAGAACTGTAAGAAGAAGAAGAAGACGAAGAAGAAGACGAAGAAGATGAAAGAGGAGGAGGAGGAGAGGGGGGGAAAGAGGGGGGGGAGGAGGAAGAGGAGGAAGAGGAGGAGGAGGAGAGGAGGAGGAGGAGGAGGAGGAAGAAGAAGAGGAAGAAGAAGAAGAAGAAGAAGAAGAAGAAGAAGAAGAAGAAGAAGAAGAAGAAGAAGAAGAAGAAGAAGAAGAAGAAGAAGAAGAAGAAGAAGAGGAAGAAGAAGAGGAAGGAGAAGGAGAAGGAGAAAAAGAAGAAGAAAAGAAAAAGGAAGCAGCAGCAAGAATGGACAGAAGGCAAAAATGTATTCTGCGCCATTGTGCAAACCCCAATGTGTTTTCTGTTTCTCTCGGTCGCCTGGTGAATCTGGAACTATTTTGACATGTGGAAATATTCATTTTGATGTGCTTAAAGTGTATTGATTATGGTAATTGTTTTCTCTGTGTTCGTTGCAGTCCGTGGTGATTTCCTTTGGGCTACTGTAACTGCTTTTTAAGCTGCCCTGCTGGCTAATTTGGTTTGGGGAGTCCAGGCGACTTCTGTACATCAGCCTCAGTGACATTACCCGGCCGCAGCCAAGTCCAGCCCGGGATGAGAAGCTGACAAAGGAGCAGGCGATGCTGAGCCTGGTGCCCCTCTGCTCAGGGCAAGGAGGTGGTGTGGGGGGCTTGAAAAAGGGGGTGTTCTCACGTTTTCTGGGCACTGAGCCAGCTTGCCATTCTGGGCTCTGTGGTTGGCCCTTATGGTTGTCTTAGAGTTTTCTCCACTGAGGTACTGGCCTTAGGAGAAGGGAGGGACACTGTCAGTCCCCAGTCTTGGTCTTTGTATTTCGCTCTGACTCCGTCTTCCTTAAGAGCGTTCCTGTGGTTCTGCTCTACCACTCCTGGGCGCATGCCCAAAGGAATCCAAGTCAGTAAGAAAAGAGACACCCACATACCCCTAGCTACGTGGCCCTGGCCACAGTGACCTAGAGATGGAAGTGGAGAAATGTGATCTGTCTATGTGAGGGAGTATTACTCAGCTATAAAGAAAAATGAGATTGGGCTGGGGAGGGGGAGGGAATGGAGAACAGGATCAAGATGCATTGTACTCGGAACCTGACGTGCTGAATTGAAACTCGACCCTTTGTACAACTACTTAAACTTCATAGCATTAAGAAAAGGAAGAATGAGATTGTTTTGTACAGGAAAATGGATGGAAATGGAGATCATCGTATTATGCGAAATAATAAAAGATAAACGGCGTGTGTTTTTCTCACCTACATGGAATCTAGATTTAAACAGAAAGATGGGAGAAAAGGAAGATCAAGGTCAGGGAGAGAGATGAGGACAGGGAGGCAATGGTGGGAGAATGTAGTCAAAGCAGATTATATGCCCGTAGGAAAACGTGAAAAGTTGTTTGGAACTAATAATTTTTAGAAAGAGTCATCAGAGTGGCTCACATCTGTAATCCTAGCCATGCAGAAGGCTGAGATCTGAGGATCGAGGTTTGAAGCCAGCCCGGGCAGGAAAGTCCATGAGACTCTTATCTCCAGTTATATACCAAAAAAGCTGGAAGTGGTGCTGTGGCTCAAGTGGTAGAGCACCAGCCTTGAACAGAAAAGCTTAGGGACCAGCTGAGTTCAAGCTCCAGAATTCCTGCAATACAGCCTTATGTTTGGGGATCACCTGATGTACTGTGTGAGTTAGTATTGGTCTCAGGTGTATTCTGGTCCCAGCTCAGCACTGCTGTCGGGTCTGGACCAGCCCTGGGATTGATTATACATTGACATTTTTCTGTTTTATTGGGCTAGACAGCAATCAAAAAGGAAAATAATCTTACAGGAGAAAAAGCCGCACATATCTTACACCAAGGTCTTTCATAGGATCTTTTTTCTTCCTATACTAGAGCTTGAACTCAGGGTCTGGGTTTTCTGTTCCTTAGCTTGTTCACTCAAGTCTGGCGTTCTTCCACTTGAGCCATGCCTCCAGCCCCTTTTTGCATTGGTGGGTTTTGAGGTAGAGTTCTAGGCTAATGCCTGGACTGTGATTCTCTTCCTTGTGCCTCCCTGTGTCTATGGCACTGCTGTGCCCAGCCTTTGTATTTCCCCCTCATAGCTGGACTAGGAGACACATGTCCTTGAGCTCAGCCAAATCTTCATTTTTTTTAATGAAATAGAATGTTATAGATCAAATTCAGATCTCCTTTGTTTCTTTCTTCAGAGCTATTTATTTCCTTTCCTCCTATTTTAGAAGGAGTCATAATTGTAATCACGCATTTGGGGAAATGCTTTCAATATTTCTTTTTCAGCATTGAGGTTTGATCCCAGGACCTGTGTTTTCTAGGTAGGCACTCTACCACTTGAGCCACGCCTCCATCCCTTTTTGCTTTTGTTATTTTTTTCAAATAGGGTTTTGCTCCCTCCTCTCCATCTGAGCTGCACAACAATCCTGCTATTTGTAATTCCCACATAGCTGGAATGACAGGCATGTGCCACTGTGCCCAGCTTTTCATTAGTTCAAATGGGGGTCTCCTTCACTTTTTGCCTAGGTTGGCCTCAAACCTCAATTCTTCCAATCTCAGCCTCCCAAGCAGCTAGGATTATAGGTGTGAGCCAGGGCACCTGGCTGTTATTTTTGTTCTTGTTTTCTTTTATTCCATTTGCAGTGGTAGGGATTTGACACTGAGCCTAACTTGCACATAGCAGGCAGTTTCTCTGTACAGCACCCAGCCTTTGGGATGCTTTTATATTTATAACTGCAAATCTATGCATCTATAAACAATAGGTAATATGTGCATGTGTGCTTTTCCAGTTGACATCCGTGTCCGTGGGCTCTACACGTTGTGTTGCAAGTTGCTTTTCCTCTTTGAGATTTGGCTGTGTTACACTTAGAGAGCTATCTCTCATTTAAGCTCCCTGCAGCAGATTGATTATCCTGCCATTGCAATGTACTTGCAAGCAAAGATGCCTAGTCCCGAAAGATCTTGAATCACTTGCCATGCGATGAGAGGGAAAAACTCCAGCCTGGAGAGCTTTTCCACAAGTGTTGGGTTTGCACAGTGGAGTAGGGCGACTCAAAGCATCTGGCTAGGGCTGTCCTTTTGCACTCTGACTGACTGAGGGCGAGTGGTGGGACAGCCCTGTTGTGTGCAGAGTGAGTGCTAGGAGGGCCTCCCCTCCCGGCCAGGCCAGGCCAGGTCACACTGCCACGATGGCTGCATTCTCCCTCTGGGGAAAACCCTGCAGCCCGGAGACAAGCAGGGTCTTGGGATGTCTGATGCAGGGATAAAGATGATAAAGACTAGGCTCGCCACGTCCCCTCCCCTCCATACCTGACACACATTCACTGAGCATCAACAGTGAAGAAAACAAGAAATACAGGCACTTGCACTACGGATCCCCGCTAACGACTTGCCTTCCTGACTGAATCTGTGGGTCTGTCTTTTATTAAAGGTCCACGCACGTCCCTGTCGGAGAGGACCAAGTCCAGCACATGGAACTAGTCCAGGACCTCGCACGGGGTTTCAACAAGAAGTATGGGGAGTTCTTTCCAGTGCCCCAATCTATTCTAAGTAAGTAAGAAATGGACTGTGCACTGGGGTGGCTCATCAGGAGAAACAACAGGTGGACCAGGCACTGGGATGACTGGTCAGGGGACACAATGGGTGGGCGGGGCGGGCACTGGGATGACTGGTTAGCAAGGTGAGCATTGGAGCCTCTGTGGAACGGAACTTGGACAGGCTGCAGAATATATTTGTTTGTTTTGGGTTTTTTTTGTCCGTCATGGGGCTTGAACTCTGGGCTTAGGCGCTGTCCCTGCACTCTTCAGCTCAAGGCAAGTGCTCTACTGCTTGAGCCACAGCGCCACTTCTGGTTTTCTGGTGGTTAATTGGAGATAAGAGTCTCATAGACTTTCCTGCCCCGGCTGGCTTTGAACCGCGATCCTCAGATCTCAGCCTCCTGAGTAGCTAGAATTACAGGCGTGAGCCACCAGTGCCTAGCAAGAATATGTTGTAAAATCCTTTTTTTTTCTCTGTCCTTCAGGACTGGGATTGCATATTAGATTATTTTGGAAAAGATATCTAAAATATTTGAAAAACATGGGAGAAACTAAAGAATTTCAAGTTATAATGGAAGTATTTTATAACAATACATTGGCACAACAAATAACTTTTCTTATTTTACAGATGTTAAATTTATATCTATATCTGTATCTATCTATATATATATGTGTATATATATATATATTTGTGTGTGTGTACTGGGCTTGCACTCAGGGCCCGGGCACTGTACCTGAGCATCTTTGGCTCAAGGCTGGCACTCTGCCACTTGTGCACAGTGCCACTTCCAGCCTTTTTTGGGTAGTTTATTGGAGATAAGAGTCTTATGGACTTTCTTTCCTGCCTGGGCTGGCTTCAAACTGCCATCCTCAGATCTCAGCCTCCTGAGTAGTTAGGATTACAGGTGTGAGCCCCTTGTATTTTTTTTTTTTTTTTTTTTTTTTTTTTACTATAAGGAAAATATCTTTCTCCTATATTTCCCTAAGGAAATTAAGTCTTGTCAAGGCTCACTGTGGGTTCTGTGGGCTTGAACAGGAGGGGATTCTGGGGTTTAATCCTAGGGCTTCCTGCTTGCCCTACAACTTGCTCTACACCTCTCCAACCCTTTCTTTGCTCTGGCTAATTTTGAGATTGGGTTTCAATTTTTGCCCAGCCTGACCTGGACTGTGTGATCTTCCCATTTGTGCTTCTCACATGGCTGGTATGACAGGTACACACCACCACACTCAGATTTTTCTGTGGAGATGGGGAACTCATGAACATTTTTGCCTGGGTTGCCTGGACTCTCCTCCCGAGTAGTTAGGATCACAGGCGTGGGCCTGTGGCACTTGGTTGGCAAACTTGGCTTTGTGTCAGTTGAGTGCCTAGCTGGTGGCAGAGCTGGCTTATGACCCCTTCTGAGGTCAAAACCAGTGTAACTTGCATTTCTGAATACTCATGATAAAAAGAAAAGGCTGGTGGGGGCAGAGAGGAGATGGGAAGGGGAAACAAAGGAGGAGGCAACTATGCTTGATAAGAAATGTACTCATTACCCTTCCCATGTAATTGTTGTTTTTGTTTTTGTTTTTTTTTAAATTTTATTTTATTTTATTTGAGAACATACTGTACAGAGGGGTTACAATTACATGGGCAGGATAATACATACATTTCTTACCAAGCATTGCAGCCTCCTCCTTTGTTTACCCTTCACCTCCCTTCCCAGCCTCCCTCCTCCCCCCCCCCCCCCCCCCCCGACCCAATCATACCCCCCCCCTCCCCCACCCCCACACCGACATTGTAAAGCTGGTCTTGACATGACATTTTGTACTTCTCATTGTTGCAACAGGTCCACCTGAATCCTTAAACGACTTGTTTGTCCCCATCTCCTCCACATGTTATACTGACATCAAATATAGTGAAAGCCTTCCCATGTAATTGTAACCTCTCTGTATGGTATTTTCACAATAAAAAATTAAAAAGAAAAAAGAAAAAGAAAAGGCTTGCGTGGGGATTACTGGATCTTAATCCAGATAAAATGAAAGGGAAGTGATAGGCTGGCTACTGGTGGTTCACGCCTGTCATCCTAGCTACTCAGGAAGCTGAGATCTGAGAATCAGGGTTTGAAGCCAGCTGGGGCTGAAAAGTCTTATCTCCAATTAGCCAGCAAAAAGCTGAAAGTGGAGCCGTGGCTCAAATGGTGGAAAGCCAGCCTTGAGCTTTTTTGATAAAGCTAAGGGACAGCACCCAGGCCTTGAGTTCAAGCCCCAGTACTAGCATATGTTTACACACAATAATACTCATGGTGACTTGTTTGTTTTGGCGTGTGTGTGCGCATTGCTGTTTCCACTCAGCCTCCATGAAGAAAGTGAAATCTCTTCGTGATCCTTCGTCTAAAATGTCCAAATCCGACCCCGACAAACTGGCCACGGTCAGAATAACAGACAGCCCGGAGGAGATAGTGCAGAAGTTCCGCAAGGCGGTGACAGACTTCACATCAGAAGTCACCTATGACCCTGTGGGCCGAGCGGGTGTCTCCAACCTGGTGGCCATCCATGCGGCGGTGAGCGGGCTCCCGGTGGAGGAGGTGGTCAGCCGGAGCACAGGCCTGGACACGGCCCACTACAAGCTGCAGGTGGCGGAGGCCGTGATTGAGAAGTTCGCCCCAGTGAAGAGGGAGATCGAGAAACTGAAAGCAGACCCGGACTATTTACAGAAGGTTTTAACAGCCGGGGCTGCCAAAGCTAAAGAGTTAGCATACCCAGTGTGCCAGGAGGTGAAGAAGCGGCTGGGCATGCGCTAGGACACAGGCAGTCACCCTCCAGACAGAATTATGATGTGGGGAAATTTATACAGTTGATTCTTAGCTTCCTTTGAGGAATATTGTTTTGTAGCCTTGAAATAGAATAATGACCCAGTGAAAGAAGGTGTGGATCTCCCAACTGCTGGCAGCACACGAGGGTGCACAGCGATCCACGCTGGTGGGACTGGGCGGTGGTGCGGGGTGTGGGTGCCTACACGCCAACTGCTAGCAGGCATTCGCTTCATGAATGTCACCGATGGTCATTGATGGCTCGCATTCATCATCCTAGTTACTCAGGAGGCTGGGATCTGAGGGGATCAAAGTGTAAAGCCAGCTTGGGCAGAAAAGTCCCAGAGAGAGTCTTAGTTCTAATTAACCAGCACAAAGCCAGGCTGGAGGCCTGGCTCAAGTGGTCGAGCACCAGCTGTACACAAGTGAGCTGAGCAGGTTTGACACTTTTGAGTTCAAGCCCCTGTATGGTGGTGCCTGCCTGTCATCCCAGCTTCTGGGGAGGAAGATGGAGGGCGATGAAGGGGACAAAGGGTGAGGGAGTCAGGCTTATTCTCGGAATGCCTGTTGATTGGGTGCATGTTCCTCACAGCAGTGGGCTGCTTGGTACAAAGTGTGCCTCCACTCCTGCTCCACGTGTTTGCTGGGAGTGGCCTCTTGGAACCCTGATGGTTGCAGGAAATACTTGTGTTCTTTAATTCAGACGTACAGGCGAGGTTCATCTTCTGAAAGCACAGAACAATTTCAACTTCATATACTTATTGTACAGTCCAAGAGCCCCCGAATGCTGAGTGTAACAAGCACTTTTTTTGTTTGTTTGGTTTTACAGTTAGCTCAACTTCTCTCGATAACCTCCTGAAATGTATCTAGGAAAGAATTTGCTTTTGCTTTTTTTCTTTCTCTCTTTCTTTCTTTCTTTCTTTCTTTCTTTCTTTCTTTCTTTCTTTCTTTCTTTCTTTCTTTCTTTCTTTCTTTCTTTCTTTCTTTCTTTCTCTCTTTCTCTCTTTCTCTCTTTCTTTCTTTTCTTTCTTTCTGGTTTTTATTTACTTATTTGTTATGTGTTGGTACTGGAGCTTGAACTCAGGACCTGAGCACTGTCCCTTAGCTTTTTCACTCAAGGCTAGCTCTACCAATTAGGACCACAGCTTTAGTTCTGGCTTTTTGATGGTTTCCTGCCTGGGCTGATTTGAACTGTGATCATTAGATCTCAGCCTCCTGAGTAGCTGGTGCCTGGCTCCTTCCTCGCCTTGAAGTTTAGTAGAGCACAGGGCCCAGGGAGACCCTGCACGTCCCAGCCTTAGCCAGTGGGATAAGTTTGGAAGTGATGTGCACAATGTCCAAGTCACTTCTCCCCGTCACCCCACATCCGAGAACCGCATGTTCCAGCCCATCAATGGAAGTTACAGAGTTGCAGAGTTGACAAGCAGCATTGCCTTTCTGCCTTGGCCTACCACTGCCTTTTTTAGGATACATGACCTTTGTCATCCTTAATTCCCTTCCTTGGGCTGTCATTGTTATAGTATCTTAGCTGCTGAAACTCAGTTCTCAGACCCCAGCACTCCCAAGCCAGGCCTGGCCCTGGCCCCACAGGCTGCAGAAAGAGACGTGGTGAAGGTGAAGAAAGGAGATTTTCTCCATGGCAGCCATGGGAGGACAGTGCCCAGAGCATTGCCAGTCCTGCCGTGCCTGCTGTTTGCCTTAAGATGATTGGAAGGAGGCCCTGCCAGGTGGGGGGTGGCTTGCCTTCCATGTCTGAATCTTCTCTTTCCTTCTAGAACAAGGTCCTAGAACAGCTCAGGTCCCAGGCACAGATACAGAGCTAGGGATTCAAGTTCATTCACAGGGTCTGGCAGCACCATCTTTTCAGTTACCACTTATGCTGCTCCCCCAGCGAATACCCTAGCCCCACTGAGGTCTGGGTCCCCCGACATGCCCAGATGGGCAGCACCAGTCACCTGGCACTCCAAGGCTAAGCAGATGCCCAGGCTCACCCCCCAGCTACTACCCAATGAGAAACTGACAGGTAGGCTCAGCTTCTTGGGTCTAAATGTCCAGATGTTTAAGAAAGACTATGCTAGAGGGGAGGGGTAGGGTAAGGGAGAGAAAGCGAATAAAAATGAGTCTCCTCCACAACTGTCATGGGAGAGAGCATGATACAGAAGAGAGGCAGCCATAAAAGCATAATTGTTACCGTAACCTCGTTAAACCTGTCTGTTCCCCTTTTCTTATCAGGTTACTCTGTGTAGTTGAGCTTAGGGTGTTTTTGTTTATAGATATGATTGTTTACGGGCAGCCTGACATTTTAGGTCTATGCACATCATAAAAGGGGAGATAATTGGTTACATTTGTCAATAGAACAAGCAGAGACTTGATCACAATATTAGAATTGTTGTGGCTTTCCTGAAGCCAAGAGAGACAAATGAGAAGGGGTAGTGATTTTACACAGTGAGCAGTAAAATTACAGTACTTATTACCCTGTAAAGCATTATATGGCCTAGAAATAAAAACAGCTGAGCATGGATTAAATTTATGAGTGAAAAAGTCATAAAATGGCATCGAGCCCTCGTCAGGAATGTTCAAATTATTTCTGCAAGTGTCTGACGTCAGCGTCACGGGAAGGAGCTGCCACCTTTTCTGTCAGCACCTCTCACCCATCCCCTGCAGGGCTCAGAACACGAGCCCCACAGAGACTGAGACCTGTGCAAGGCTTGGTGATGGACTGACGGGTAGACTCTGTGAGAATAAAGGCTCCTGGACTTAGTGTATCTTGCACAAAAATCTCTGTATACTTTACAGGTAATGGATGACAGGGACAGAGGAAATGAGGGAGACAGTGGATATAATTCATGAAAGTTTTAAGATTTGAGATTAATGCCAGCATGCTAGTCTTCTCAAAGGCAAGGGAAAAAAAAACTCAGATGACTGAGATCTGTAGATAATCGTATGGTTTTTGGTAAATGTCTTCGAAGACTTAGTAGTTGAAGGCTGAATTTCCCAGGCCTGGTAGATCCCCCTGGGTCTGGCAGAACCTTTAGGAGGTGGAGCCTAATGAGAGGTCTTTTGGCCATTGGGGGGAGGAGGATATTCACAAGGGGATGGAGTTGCCCAGTCTTTCCCTTTTCCTCTTCTGTCTCCCAGCTGGAGCTTTGCAGCAGCCATCTGCCATGATGTGCTGTCAAAAGCAGTAAGTCCACGACTCATTCCTCAGACTTCTGAAACGATAAGCCAAAGTCAATCTACCTTCTTTGTGAGTAGAAAACAATCACAAATTTGAAACTTAACACAGGAAACTAGCAAACTGACTCTCTCTCTCTCTGCCATATGAGGTAAAAACTTTAGGTAGCACCAACATATAGAAGTGTTTGGAGCCTGGGGCATCAAAATGAAGAGAAAGAAGACAGTACTTCCCAGCTCCCTCAGAATGACATGTATCTTTAGAAGAAATGACTTAATTCCTCCACCCACTGGGACTCTGTTTGCCATTCACTTAGCTCTGGCGCATCTGTTTTAAAAACCGTATAGTGACTTCATGACCAGGGGGTTTGGTAAATTACAGTGACAACTTTTTCTCCTCCTCTCCCCCTTTCTTTGTAAGGACGCCTTAAGTTCTTTCCAAAAACACATTATCAGTCAGGATTTCTATTCCAAGTAATTTGGAATCAGAAGTCATCAGCAGTCTGGAGGTGAGGTTTTTATAGCACTTTTACAGAAGGTAAACTGAGCTGTGTGGGCTGTAGCACGCTTCCCTGTGCCCCCACAAGGACTGGAGTTACAAGAATTACATCTCTGATCTGCCTCCATGGCTGGCAGGCCCACCAGGTCTCTGGGCTCTGTGGGCAGGCTAACTCTTCGTTCTCCAAGAACTTTCCTCACAAGTGCTTACAAGGCTTCTGTGTGTGTGTGTCTGTGTGTGTCTGTGTGTGTGTGTGTGTGTGTGTCTGTGTGTGTGTGTGTGTGTGTCTGTGTGTCTGTGTGTGTGTGTGTGTCTGTGTGTGTGTGTCTGTGTGTGTGTGTGTCTGTGTGTCTGTGTGTGTGTGTGTCTGTGTCTGTGTGTGTGTGTGTGTCTGTGTGTGTGTCTGTGTGTGTGTGTGTGTCTGTGTGTGTGTCTGTGTGTGTGTGTCTGTGTGTGTGTGTCTGTGTGTGTGTGTCTGTGTGTGTGTGTGTGTCTGTGTGTGTGTGTGTGTCTGTGTGTCTGTGTGTGTCTGTGTGTGTGTGTGTCTGTGTCTGTGTGTGTGTGTGTCTGTGTCTGTGTGTGTCTGTGTGTCTGTGTGTGTGTCTGTGTGTGTGTGTGTGTGTCTGTGTGTGTGTGTGTCTGTGTGTGTGTCTGTGTGTGTGTGTGTGTGTCTGTGTGTGTGTGTGTGTGTGTCTGTCTGTGTGTGTCTGTGTGTGTGTGTGTGTGTCTGTGTGTGTCTGTGGTGCCAGTAGTGGGACTTGAATTCAGGGCCTGTGCTCTAGTTTAGCGGTTTCATTTCTGTTCTGCCATTTGAGCCACATCTCTACTTCTGACTATTGGAGGTAAGAGTCTCTCACGGGCTTCCTGCCTGGACTGATTTCAAATTTAGATCTTCAGATCTCAGTCTCCTGAGTAGCTAGGGTTACAGGCATGAGCCATCAATCAGCATCCAGCTCAGAGTCTCTCCCTCTCTCCCTCTATCCCTTTCTCTGTCTCTCTCTGTCTCTCTGTCTCTCTATCTCTCGCCTCCCCCCACCTCTCTCTTATCAGTTGTAGGGCTTGAACTCAGAGCTTAGGTACTGTCCCTGAGCTCCATGGCTCAAGGCTAGCTCTCTATCACATTGAGCCACAGCTCCACTTTTGGTTTTCTGGTGGCTCATTGGAGATAAGAGTCTCACAGACCTTTGTGCCTGGGCTGACTTTCAAACATGATCCTCAAATCTCAGCCTCCTGAGTAGCTAGGATTACAGGGGTGAGCCATTGGTGCCTGGCAGAGGCTCTGATGGAGCTATTCAATAGTCCATGAAGTCATTTCCAGAAGAAACATTACAAACATGGTTTGAGCTATTGTCTGCACAGACATAGCTAGAATCTCAGGGCAACTTCCCCGAGAGACTCAAATAAATCCTGGCGTTGTATATGTGCCCCATTACTTTCTGCTCAGCTTTCAGTCTTTTAGTTTTTTAAAACCTCCTACCTAATAAAAGGCAAAAGCCCAGCCTTGCAGGGTGGTTTTTCTTCACCATTATGAGATAATAAACAGGTTGTGTGGCTGAAATGTAAAATACTTCTGATTTGTTGAATGGAAGATTAAGCCTAGTACTCTCTGATTTTGAATTTATTCAACATAAAATTCAGTTATGTGAAGCTTTTTTGCATGTTAAATCAGATGTTATAAGCAATCAATGAACAATAGTTCATTTTTTTGCTAAAAAATAAAAAAGGTCAGCATGTTTGTATTGGGAATTACTGACTTCTATGTACAGGGTGCTTGAAAGATGGCAATTCAAAAAAGTGGAAGACTTTCACTTTGAAAAGCACCAATCTCCAGGGCCTGTGTTTACCACAGGAGAAATAGTCAATGAAATATAAAACAAAGCCAGGTGCCTACAGCTTGCACATATAATCCTAGCTATTCAGGAAGCTGAGATCTGAGCTCAGATCATAGTTTAAAGCCAGCTGGGGCAGGAAAGTCTGTGAGACTCATGTCCAATTAACCAGAAAAAATCCAGAAATGGAGCTGAGGTTCAAGTGGCAGAGCTCCAGCCTTGAGTGCAAAAGCTAAGCAAGAGCTCAAGTTCAAGCCCCAATATGGCACCAAATAAAAATAAAAATTTTTAAAGTGAAAAAGAGGGTACAGGAAGCTCCCTGAAGATACCTTCTACTTCATGGTTATTTCAGTTTTATGTTGTG